CCCTCTCGCGTGCCCTGGCTATCATGTCGTCCAGTGTCGGGCACGTCGAGCAACTAACAAACTCACGGATCTCTGGTCTCAGCATATCGTGGTATCGATTCTTCTTCATCTCCTCATCCGCTGTGTACTGGGGCACCAACAAAGCCCTCTACCTGAATTTGGCGGTGATCTCCGCCACAGTCTCAGTCATATTTCTCATGTCCAGGAACTCTCTGGCTAACTGTTGAATCTCCACCGCGGGTGAAAACTCGGCTCAGAATCGGGTCACGAAATCCGGCCAGGTCATGGTCGCAATGGCTGGGTCTCCCAATACGTAACCGACCTCCTCCCACCAATCCCTAGCTCGATCCCTCAAACACCCCGCGACAAACCTAACCTTAGACCCCTCAGGGCAAAAGCTGGTTATCTGAGCACACTCGATATCCGCTATCCATCGTCTGGCTGCAATGGGGTCCTTCACCCCGCAGAAGTCTAGTGCTCTGCATCCCCTGAAATCATTGAAGGAGAGCGTACGTGTCCCAGACTGGCCAGGATCCATGTCACTCCTTAATGACCTAAGGCGATCCTCCATCAACTCAATGATACCCTCCTTGATCGACCCGAAAATCATCGGGGTCGACTCAAAGATGTCTCTCGTAATCTCGGATGCAATGAACTCGTGCAATCCCTCATCAATCGGTTCGGAACCCGTACCCGAACCGGACCCAGATCCTGAGCCCCGTGCTCCATGACGTGTCATCACCATTTTGAAACAAACCACATAATCGTCAGAGTCATACATAATATCGAGAGACCTTACACACACTACAAGTTCCCTGGTTTTATCTCAGTTCTCCTTGAATCGAGTACAGATCCTCTGCTTTCAGTAGTATGGGCCCATACTACCTTCCATATTTATCCATACTTTCCTCAAGGATTGCCTTGACTTCACCAAGTCCCTTTCACTATTACTGCTCTCCACACTAATCTCATCCTAGGCTTGCCCTAGGGTAATCTCTGACCCACTCTCCGCCATCAGCTACAGAAGAAGTCCCTGTGATCTCTCCCTAACTAGCTCGCGACTACCATTACATATTATTGAGACCAGATAATTCTTCGAATGAGAGGTCTCTCCCTACAACGGTTGGACTCAAACAAGAGCTGCGCAATAGGGCTAAATCTAACCTTCTGAAATTATTTAATCCTCGCAATATGTAACTTAGCGTATTCAGTTATTAGTTAGTTAGAGACAACTAGAACTCTTAATAGCACAAAGCAAGCATCATTCGAGCATTTAGTAACCAAAACCAAGCATATCCTAATCAGGTCATCGTATCACTGGCTAATCAGTACTAGCATGCAGTTCAAGAGACACATACAACAGGCATACAAGGCATCCTTCCTAGATCCTTAGCCCTAATCTAGCATGCAATTCTCATACACATACAATAGGCATACAAGGCATCCTTCCTAGATCCTTAGCCCTAATCTAGCATGCAATTCTCATAATCATAACATATATCATAACGAACATGTATGTATCATGGGGAAATCTTACTTGAGCTCGACCGATTGCACGCATCACACTCCTTGTTTTGTATCTAAAACCCTTATTTTAATTTTAGAAAAATTATTTTTCTTGTAAAAATCTCTCAAACCCTCGATTTGAGTCCAGACACCCCCGAAGGTATGTGCGAATCCCTCAAACCAAGGGTCTGATACCAACTTGTAACACCCCTAAAAATACAACCCGAAAATTTCATTTTTAAGTTTAACAATCATAAAATAAACCATATTGTTTTTCCCAAAACCATGTAAACATAAAATAGTTTAGTTATGCAATCCAATAATACATATAAAATCATCATCAGAGTCATAATCCCAAAATCACTAATGTGGAAAATCATGGTGTGATGCAATGCTATTAAGCCGACCCTTTCCCCTTCGAGCTGGAAGTACCTGAAACCAAAACTGAAAACCGTAAGCACGAAGCTTAGTGAGTTTCCCCCACCATACCACATACAAATCATAACATATTGTCAGACATATCTCGGTGCCCGACCTACCCTGCTGAGCATACATGGGTGCTCAACCTACCCATGTCAGACATACCGGGGTATCCGACCTACCCCTGTCAAGCCCAAGAAGGCCCAATACCATAAATCTTAGTCCTAGGCCCAAGAAGGCCCAATACCATAAATCTCAGTCCTAGGCCCAGAGGCCTTACTCCACAATGGACCACGAGGCCCATCAAATCCAGGCCCAATCACCCAAGGCCCATAAACTACATAATCACTCTGAATGCGTACGCTGTCCTTGACTAGAAGCGGGAAATTGACCCAGTACGCGCAACGTACTAGGAGTACGCCCAACGTACTAACCAGTTTCCTTAGAACTCCTTTTGTGACTTAATCCATTAAGTCCTTACGTCCAAAACATAGATCCAGGTCCTTTAAGACATCCTAAGCTATAAAGTTACAAACTTTATGTCTTTGCATGCATGGATGGGGGTTAAGACATGATTTAAGTCCTTAGACACACTTTGTGACCATCTAACACTTGCATGGTTGTGGCTTAACCATCAAGACCCGATTTTTATGACTCTAAATGCTTCCAAGAGCTCAAAAGGATAGCTCTTATGGGCTGAAACTACCAGGACACAAGAAACCTCAATTATGGAGTCAAAATATCACATAAAACACCCCAAAACTACAACTAAGCATGCAATGGTCAAGTTTGAAGCTTGATACCTCAAATGAGTCAGAAAAGGTGCCAAACTTCTAGATCTACAAGCCCTTCTCACGTTCGTGATCCTTCTTCTAACTTCATCTTCTTCAAAACCACCAAAAACCACCCAAAAGTGCACCAAATTAGCTTTCAAAGCATGCAAGAGGTCTAGGGTTCGATTTCTACTCTTTAGGGACAATGGAGGCTGAGGGAATGAGGTTTGGGACGGAGTTAGTTTCTTTATATATGGTGCAAACCCTAAAATTTAGGGTTTGCAACTGAACAAGTTACATCCAGCGTACACGAAGCTCCCCCCCGGGCTTCGCGCCTCCATCATGTACGCCGCACGTACACTATGTACACCCAACATACTACCTTTCACAAAGTTTCCATATTTAAACACTTAAGTAAATCAAGGGAAATACCTGGTGACTCGGATGTTACACTGGGGCTATATGTGAGCCGTATAAATGTGCTCCACCAAATCCGCACGAAGGGAGTGATGAATGTCGCGGTAACGTACTTCTCTTCTATTTGTCCTATACTCTTGCGTACCAATGGGTACTCCTTCGACATTTGGCAAAACTTCGTTTTCGTTGTATCATCATATAATTCTTCTTTCATTTTCTAGAATCATATTATGTAATATGATGCACACGTACATTATGTGTTGCAACCTTTTCACTCCATATGACCGTGCCTCGACTTGTAGTACTTGCCAATGCCTCTTGAGTACACCAAATGTTTGCTCTACATCCTTCCTAGCTGACTCTTGTGCCTCCTTTAACTTTTTTCTTTTTTCGTTGGCTCTCTATGGTCTCCTCACATGTATCGACCACGTCATGCGTTAGGACACATTGCACAAGACCAGTGCATGCAATCGATACTTCCTAGCATTCCCAGGAACCCATGCTTACTTTCATGCACCGTGTACAATTGGTGGACATCGTTGATGGTTGGTTTGCACCAATACTATAGCCCATAAACCAAAGTAATAGCTTTCTCAAACTTATGTGCACTTTCGTGTGTGGTACACTCTGACATCTTCAAATATTCGTCACATTTTTCTGCACCCATGCCATATGCTAACTAGCGAATTGCGGTCGTACATTTTTGAATTGGAGAGAAACCTCTTTTGTGCCTCACATCCCGCTTCCATTAGAACTATGGAAAATGGCCTTTCGAATCGTCAACAATACGTAAAAATAACTCTTTCTTCATCCGGAACCGTCGTCGAAACTTTTCAGTGTACACGACGTTGTCTACAAAATAGTATTTTATAAGACAATTGTGCCCGAATTCGTGATTTCTTTGCAACTGTAGCTTTCTTGTTTGAGGTAGTGAACATGAACTTTGACCTTGTTGGTTTCGGAAATACGCCACAGATTTTACCATGATGGAACCGACAAATAATGTCTCTTCTTGAATCGTTGAATTGGAGGACGAAGATGACGACATTGTGTTTTAGTGAGTTTATTGAGAGAATATGTAGAAATAAGTGTGAAAATTAAATTAGGTTGGTTTGATATTTATATGATGATAAATTAATTTTAAAAAATTGAAATATTTAATGTTTATAGCCGTTGAAATGAGAAATTAAAAAAAAACACAATTTTTCTATATATTACTGTGTTGGAATAAGAGAGGGGGCGGGGAAGCCTCCCCTCACTCGGAAACCGCAACACCCAAACCGCAGTGGCGGTATAGTGTGCTGGCCGAGGGGAGAGGAACCACAGCCTCCTTCCTGCTACATACCCTCCAGCCTAACAAATTTGTGTTTTGCACAACGGCACACCATTCTTTGTAGGTGGTGGCGTTCAATTTAGGAGTGTTTGGTATCAGTGATGAAACTATCAGCGTTGCTCAAATTTTTACCGGCCTTCATAGTCTATGGTGCCGATGATAGACTGTGCTCGGCGAAGGAAGAGAGGGGACGAAATGGGGATGGGCTGTTGAATCGTTTGTGTGATGAAGACGAGGTCGGATCGGGATGGATTTCTGAACAGAACAGGTAACACTTCGATTTTGATTTATAATTTTGAATGTTGCCAATGCCTATGGTATAAAATCGATGTAAGCATAAAGCTACTGTTCATTAGGATTGATAGATTACTTTATTAATTTTGTATCAACAAGAATTCAGCCAATTTACATCCTTAAGATGAAAAAGGAAAAGAATACAAATACAGGTCCAACATAAAACCTAATGACAATAATAGTTCCTAGACTATATAAACACAATTAGCTATAATAATGCTAACAAAAAGAATTATATAGTTTTTACAAAATTTTGGTCATGTTGACCCTCTTTGATCACTAGAGGTGGTGTTGGTGGTGTTCCCCGTATACACCACAATTGGACTACGGACCTTGTGAATATCATCTTCATCGGTCCATAACAATGAAACACTCTCTACAGTTAGTGGCGATTTGATCCTTTTTCCTCTAACAGTCACCACAAAAGACTTCCTTTGGTTTAGTGCAGTGAACTGTAGAATGTTGGGATCAACAATGATGTTGAGCTTTGTGCTTCCTTTTATGGATGCAACATATGTTGAATTAGCTTTACCGACATTCGTCACTGTTCTTGGAAAAGACACCACAAATGCAGAATTCATGCCAACTTGAACTGCCATGGAAGGGTAGTTCATTTGTCTAAGCGTCAAGTTGGCATCACAAGTAGTATTTAATATGCTTTGAAATATTCTGCACCATATCTTGTGGTAGTCTTCTTTAGAGGTGTCATACACAAGACCCGGATCTTTAGCTTTGTGAGGATCAATATGCCCAGACCCATATGCAAATTCAGTATCTAAGCTCCGGTAAGGAATCATTTCCCATGCTATGACACAGTAGTTAAACGACAAGGAAATAGCAATGAGAGAGAAACAATAATAAAGAAGATGAATAGCAAAACGACGGGTGTTTGATGGAATTTTCTCGAACTTAGATACTTGAACACGTTTAGTTGATGCAGAAGTCATAGTTCAAGATAAGATAAGAAATTACCTGTGGTCATAAGTGCTGATTTAATTGCCGAGGGAGACCAATTTGGGTGAAAAGACTTGACAAAAGCAGCAGCAGCAGCAACATGTGGACAAGCCATGGATGTCCCTGATAGGATATTGTACTTAACAGACCTTTTGTCGATATAGGTATGAGATGGCGGAGCCATTGGTGAATAAGCCGCCAGAATTTCCACACCAGGGGCCGTTACATCCGGCTAAAATAAGATGACTTATTTCATTAATCTCTTAAACTGAATACAAAACTTTCATAGATAGACAATTTTTATAATATATGGGTTGACTCGTAAGATTTAAATTAGATCTCGCCATTCATTCCAAGTAGTTTACGAAATCAGATCCAGGGTAATTATCAGTTGTATATAACAAAGGTTACTTCTATGTAAGTGCTAATAGATAGAATAAGAACTATGAAATACCTTTATAATATCATATATAAATCTGCTCGGTCCTCTGGAAGAAAATGAGGCGACGAGAGGAGCAACTTGATTGTTAATAGCTTCGCTTTTGAAAATTTGAACTTTAGGTTTTCTGTTCAAGTGACAAGTACCCATCAGTTAAAACATAACCATGCTATTACAAAATAATCAAAGAGATTTAATAGGAAAAGAAAATCATACATGCTAGAGTTTTGATAGGTTTTGACCAAGTTGATATCATTTGTATTTAGAGCAGCAATAGGTAAGGGTCCGACCTCAGAGACACTGTTTCCATGATTTGGGACGATACAACCACTGGCTCCTGCTGCTTTTACTGAATACGGGTTTCTATTTTCATCACATAGAACCACTTTATGCTCAACGAGGCTACCATCTAAGCACTTCGCATGACAATAACTATAAACGAAAATGTGATTAGTAATTAATTTGCATGCCTTGAGATATTTTTATTTTTTTTGCATTCAATAAATAAAAATTTACCTTGCTTCATTTTCAGAGCACTCGCTTGTCACTTGTTTTCCATAAAGAAGAGGCAACTCTTCATTACTCGAAGGGAAAGCATTAATCGAGTTACCCTACAATATGTTGGGGTTGAAACACACTTTTATTCAGAACTAGAACAAAAGAGAAGAGCTTACACGCTCAATATTACAAGAAAAAGAAACAACCCTCTAATACTCACTCTAAGTATTACACACTACACTCTCTGTTTTTGGTGTCTTACAACTGAGGTTAGAGCCTCTATTTATACTTAAACAAGCCTACAATTACTACTGCTACCATTTATTGTGTTCGTTATGTGAACATACGAAGTTGCCATTTGAGTTCTTATTGTCAACAAAGGAGGGATTCATTTGTCAACTAAAGAGGGTGGTACAGCTACTCATGGCAGGTTCACACCCAAGTAGGTTTACACTCACATTCTCCCCCTTAAACCTAACTTGGCTCGAGATTCGTCACTCCGATCATGTTTTGCATTTCACCATGTTTCACGTATGCTAAAGCCTTTGTAAAGATGTTCGGGTGGCAAATCGGTAAGTTGTCATGTCTTGTTCTTCTCGATTGCATCCAACTCTGTTTGCATAGCCTCCTGCCATGCTTTAGAGGTTACCGCCTCTTTAAAATTCAAGGGTTGATCCGCTGCAATCATCAACAATTCTCCGGGTTCAAGGAACACATTTTCGATTTCAGAATAAATATCGGTTAACGGACGCAATCCCCTTGGCCCAATCTCACTAGAAGGGCTTTCCATATGGGGCGAGGTTGAAGAAAACGGGGCTGAGACAGGAGTATGTGGAGCTGGTTCAGGCTCGTCAAATTCAGCATATGGTTGTCCAACTTGGATAGCATCAATTCCTGGGCTGTTTGGTTGTTCCGGATTGATTTCGGGGTCATTTTGAGGTGTTTCGAGGTGTATTTGGGGTTGTGGTTCAATTATGGTAAAGGTCTTAGGAGTCGTCATCTCTTCTTCTTTGTTTTTGTACCAATTCCATTCTTCTTTTTCGTCAAAAACAACATCGCGACTAACTCGCAACTTTCGGTCTTGCGGATCAAACAAACGGTTGCCTTTAGTTCCATCTTCCACACCTAAATACACCATCTTCTTACTTCGATCATCAAGCTTCTTCAAGTGACCACCTACAAGTTTAGCAAAAGCAACACAACCAAAAACTTTTAGATGTTCAAGGTTGGGCTTTTTGCCAAACCACGTTTCATAAGGTGTCTTGTCGGGAAGTACTTTTGTTGGCAGGCGGTTGAGAAGATAAACTGCATGTCTAATCGCTTCTCCCCAAAACTCTCCCGGAACATTTCTACCTTTGAGCAGACTTCTTGCCATGTCCATAACGGTCCGATTTCGCCTTTCTACAACTTCGTTCTGTTGAGGCGAATATGGTGTCGTAAGATGCCTTTGAATACCATTTTCTTCACAAAATAATGAGAATTCTTTTGAAGTGAACTCTCCCCCTCGGTCCGTTCGAAGTGTCTTTATTTGATAACCCGAATTCTTTTCAACCATCAACTTGAACCGTTTGAAAGTGCTCAAGGCTTGAGACTTCTCCGATAGCATGTAAACCCACATCCACCGGCTAAAATCGTCTACTAAAAGGAGAAAATATTTACTCCCTCCAACAGACGTAGGTGTGATCGGACCACATAAGTCCGCATGAACAAGTTGTAGAGGTTTTTGAGCTCGAAAAACTGCATGATCCGGGAAAGGAATTCGGGTTTGTTTGGAAAGAACGCACCCTTCACATACTTGGTTTGGGTGCTCAATCTTTGGGACTCCGATTGCCATATTCTTTTCGGACAACTTCTTTAAGGCGAGAAAGTTAACATGACCGAGTCTAGAATGCCATATCCAAGCTGGTTTGTCTTTTGTTGCTAAAAGACAAGCCGGTCTACCGGTCCTTAAAGGAGTTTTATATAACCGGTTTGGGGATCGTTTAACTCTCAAAAGTAGAGTTTTATTTCTGTCAAACAATGTCAGATCCGACCCATCCATTATGACCCGACTCCCTTCCTCCGTCATTTGTCCAAGACTAATAATATTGTTTTTTAGACTTGGAATGAAATATACCTCATTAAGGAGTCTTTGGTCGCCATTTTTGCTATCGAATAAAATCGACCCTTTTCCCAAAATAGCGACGGTCGAACCATCCCCAAATTTCACATGGCCCGTAACGTGCTCATCCAGTTCGCGAAACTTTGAGCGGTCTCCAGTCATGTGATTGCTAGCACCGTTGTCGAGATACCATACCTCAGACTCGACTCGACTTTCTCCTGATGCAAGAAGATTAACACAAATCTTCTCTCTTAGAGACACTTTTTTGTGTGGATATTCTTGTGAGGTTGCCATCATTAAAATAGGCTCTTCTTCGTTGGCTTGAGTGAGGTTTGCTTCCTCACCTCGATTCTTGTTTGGACACTCCGAAGCATAATGACCAAATTGTTCACAAGTAAAGCATTTGATTTTACTTTTATCCTTTCGAGAAGGATTATGGTCATTCCGATTTGTATTGTACTCGCGACCACCTCCTTGGCCACGTCCACGACCTCGGCCTCGTCCCCGGCCTCGGTTACCATGTCCTCCTCGTCCTCTTGAAGTGTTTGACGAGTTTCTCTCGCCAGTTTGCTTCGAACGTGATGCCCACTCGGCATGTGTAAGCAATAGAGAAGGTCCTTCTTCTTTTTCTCCATAGCTTCGAAGTCTCTCTTCATGGGTCTTAAGACGACCCACAACTTCTTCCACCGTCATATTCTTCAAATCTCCGAATTGCTCGATCGATGTTACGATTTGTATAAATCGTATCGGTACGGCTCGCAAAAACTTCTTCACAACCGTAATTTCTTCAATCTTTTCACCTAGAGATCGAATACCGGTTATGATAGTATTCAATCTCATGGAAAAATCATCTACCGATTCACTGTCTTTCATCCGGATCACCTCGAAGTCACTTCTCAAGGTTTGAGCTTTAGCCTCCTTGACCCGATCGGCTCCCATGTGCATCATCTTGAGCGTTTCCCATGCTTCTTTAGCTGTGTCCTTCTCAGCTAACATCAGAAGTACGTCCTCTGGAATTGCTTGATAAATAGTCGCAAGAGCCATCCGATCTTTACGTTCGTCCGTTTCTGCATTTTTAATTACATCCCATACTCCTTGTGCTTGTAAATTCACTCACATTTTTATGGCCCACACCGCGTAGTTCATCTTCGTGAGCATTGGATAGTGTAACGTAACGCTACCGTCTTTCCCGGTCCTTTGAAAACTTTCAACTCCGGCTTGAGAAGATGACGAGGTTGGTGTAGTCATTCTTGGCATATACTTGGGCATACACGAGTAAGAATATTTTTTTTTTTTTTGAAGTACGGGGACCAATATGAACTTTTCAGAAGTTCAGGGGGGCAAACAGAACTTTTACAGAAGTAAAACAGGGGCTAAATTGAAATTTTTCTGAAAAACGGGACCAAAATTGCAATTTTTTTGAAAAACAGGGGGCTAAATTGCACTTTCCGGAAGAACAGGGGCTAAACTGCAATTTCCAGAACTTTGGTCAGCTGCTGACGTCACTGCTGATGTCACTGCTACAGTGCTGCTACAGTAAAGATACATACATACACTCCTCTAGCAGTTCCTTATGCTAGACAGTAATAGTTTGCTTTATTCACTTGCCTCCCAGCTATGGTAGATGCAACATGGGTCCCATGCCCATGCATGTCTCTAACTGAATATTCGATTCCATAGTAACGAGCTCCAATTATCTTCCTGTGGATTGATTAATTATGAGGAATGTTAAATAGAAAACTTGGTATCACTTCCAATGTTAAAGGTTACCTGTTACAAGTGAAATTTGTGCCACCCTGACACTCTCCTTTCCACCTTGTGGGAATAGGACCAAGGCCTTCATCGCTGAAGCTCTCCGACTCTGGCCATATTCCGCCATCAATGATTTCGATGATCGTGTCACTCTCAGCAGTTGGACTCCGTTCGATTGTTGTTGGAAATCCCATGAAGTCCCACGACCTTGTTGTCTGGAGGTGCAACTTTTGACATGGAAATACCGAGATGATCCCATCAAAACCTGTTCGGTTTTAATCATTCTTAGCAATGCATATGATAAATATGTGTATTTCACCAATTTAACAGCCATTATATACATCTACATCTACATATACATGTAAATATACATATATGAGAATATATATATTTGTATACTTTTAATTTGTGGTTATACATGTTAATTAGTATGGATCATAACCAGTTCTCATTTTCTTAGTTTGTGTAGCTATTTCCGATGTATCTCAACTTTTTGTTCAGTTAATGAACTTTTGATCTTTTTAAAAACTACTCTATGTTTTAGCACCGGACATTCAACCATTCCCACTGTAGAATATGTTTTGAATAAATCTGGTCATAGAAACTTACCAGCCAAATTTTGTTGTTCTTCTTGGGAGAGATAAGCAGCAAATCCATTAAAGCTTCTTTGGTAACTCCTTATTAGAGGTTTCCTTGCGAACCTGGTCACATTTAAAGATCATAAATAACAAAATGCGATTTCAAATCTACAAATATAATGCAAAGATATACCTCGGGTTGGTAATATTTTTCAAGATTTCGTAATGATGTAATGAAGGTGAATATTCTCCTTCCGGGAGAAATCCCATGTAAGCAATAAAAACCTGCACATAAATTTACATTAGATTCAAGAGTTGAACATCTTTATCTTCACATTTTATTATAATTAATTACCATCTTCTCTATAAAAATAAGTCAACTGAACTAACCTTTCGGTCTTCATCAATCGAGGATACGAGTATTACTAAAGAAATCAGTACTATGCATGTCCAGACCACATTCATCATCTTCATTTTCTTCTTCTTTTTTCTCCCTCAGACCCTCACTCTCTTTGTAAGTGGTGAAACCAGCGATTAAGTATGCTTAATTGGATTTCCATATATAGAGGGCATTTATAGGAATTTAGGCACCAGGTTTAGTGTTTTTTTTTTTTTTCCTTTTTAGTCTCTGTCCACTTCAAAGCATCTCTCCATCTCTCTCTCTATTTCTGTACGTATCTCTACATGACATGTATATGTACATGTATCTCATGTATCTTATTTATTTTTTAACAGCAAAATCACTTTTTTAGTAACTAGAGCTCAAAGTTACATGGCGAATTACAAAGGGTAATCAGCCCACAAACCCCAGCTCAGACCTTTGCCCCATTTTGATCTATTTGAGAGTCATAGAAAAACCATGGCTTTAACATCAAATGCTAACATAGAAGACGTTTTCACCTTATTTTTAGAAACTAAAGCATTCCTATAAGTTCAAATGACCCATAAAAATGCCCTTGAGATGGAATCAAGGACATATACATTTATCTATAATTCTTTGAGCAGCCAAAATCTTAAGAAAGTAAGTATATGCATGTTTTTGGTACGTAGAAGAATGCATTTTTTTTTAACTCCCGTGTATTGGCATTTCTCTCCAGGTATAAGAAAAGCATAATATCCACATTCGCACAATGTTGGAGTCCTTTGAGTGTTATGTTCTTACGAATGTTAGGATTCCTATATTTTTTCACACAAGATAATTACAAAAGGTTTTTTTGTCACTGAATATATCAATTAAAGATAAAGAGGAATTTTAGGCCCGTATAGACTAAGACATAAAGTTATAAATGGTCCACGATGGGATAACCAAAATTCAAAATTTGCCTACAACTAAGACATAGTTTGACTGTATTGCATTGTATTGGGCAAAGGGATTGCATGTTTATAACTTTGACACATTTCCTTATTTGGTTATCATTACTAATAGAGGAATAGATGATTTTTTCATGAAAAAGAAAATATTTTCCTTTGCTTAGCATTCATCAGGTCAGTCTTACTTATTTGGGGTGCCAAGTCTCCCACTTGTTTTTTCATTTTTAACTGTTTTAGTGAAAGTATCTCTACAGCAGATACAGAGAATGAGACAAAAAAAAAAGACACGGAGTGGGTATGATCAAAGAGAAGGAAAAAAAATTCACCTTTTAATGTATGATTTTTCATGTTTTCTTTTAAAAACTTTGCATGTATAAGTACAACTTACAAGTTGTAAATTCAATAATCTCGATCATCTTTGATATATCATTCTAAGTTAAATTTATGAAATTAAGCCGATGAAAAGAAAGAAGTAATGAAATCATTCCAAGTTAAATTAGGGCTATTAATAGAATTAGTTTTAGAGAATTATACCTTATAATATTGTACTTTTCAAATTTCATAAGTAAAAAAGTCGATACATATCGATGTAAAGCAAATTGGCAACAAGCTACGCTGCTAACCCTTTCTGAATGGCAAAACTAATTCTTTTATAAACAAAATTTACGGATATAAGAGATATAACATTAGTTTTTGCCATTGCTATTTGTATGTATGTAGATTTCGTCAACTACATTAATTTTGCAAATCCATGAAAAAAAGAAATTAAATATCCTCTTTTTTCTGTTTATTTTGACATTTGTAGTTGATCTTATGAATAGAAGATAAATAAGAAAAAAAAAATAGGATGAAATTTGATTTCTCCCATAAGATTATTTGCATGCTTTTGCAATTGTACACGTTGGTTGAAAGATAATAGCAAATTGTGACGGAATTTACAAGCATGGAACAATGAGCCATTCTCAATGTTTACAAGATGTGTAGCTTTCTAAATCTATCGAAAAAAATTAACCTAAAAGTTAAATATTTATTGTGTTACAAAACAAAAATGAGAGAAAATCATAGAGAACAACATTTATTAGGAACTAAATCAAATTGTAAGATTTTTTACTTTCATGAATTTTGCAATCAAATTTTAAGATATTTACTTTCATGAATTTAGCCCAACACAATTTAACTCCCTCCCACATTTTTTCTTTATTAACAATAAGACAAAAATATCCCATTTGCTATTGTTGGTGACATGTCCAAAGCTTTCTTTGCACTCAATTATATATGTACTAGGCGGTGAATTTCTGCATTTTATGCAAAATATTACTACACTAGTAGAAAAGCATGTACTTTCTACGGAAATCACTGACAAAAAGTTTCCGTCAGAAAAAACCGGGCAGAACTGTGTTGGAGTACGGAACCCTAATTTAGTGACGAGAATTATATGTTGTCGGTAATCTGTCGGTAAATTCCGATGGGAATTTAAATTATAAAATTTAATTTTTTTCGAATGCATTGGTATTCCGTCGAATACAATTAAATCAATAAAAATGCATTGCCAAAGTTTTGAAGTGGGACAAATGTTGAGGGAGACAACTTGCAACTCGGCCAAAAACCTCATCCGGTGATAAACATCATTTTTCACGTGTTAGGGAGCAAGTTTTGGACTATTTATTACCCCAAATGCTTATAAAATGAATTTTCATGCCTTAAAAGGATTACAATTACTTAGTTTCTTGGCCTAATCTCGCAAAAAAAAACTCCTACCCTAATTACAACAACTTTGCCTTTTGTTACTTCGTTGTGCCACAGCTGGTCCTTTGAATATCATTGTCACAAACAAAAGAATGGGCATAATGCAGGTGAGCCACATGACATTCAGATCACTCTTCTCCAGCTACAACTTAAGGTTTCCCTTACGAGGGAGGAAGTCAATGGGGACCTGCGTCAGCTAAGAGAAAGTCTTCGTTGGAAGATGGATTCCCTGAATCGTGATGTCGATGATATCAGGACAGGGCAGTTGGAGGTGTCCTATTTGATCGATGACGTGAGGAACCACTTTTACTCACTCCAGTCAGCATATATAATGGCAACGATTGAGATAACCAGAATGAAGAAAATGCTTGCTTTCACAAGTTTATTTGGAATGAGTGTTGCTGTGGAGGTGGTTGCAGTTTACAACTGCGTCCGATGGCGGGGTAGTTGCTTTTCTTTGTTTGGGTTTTTGTAACATCATGTTTCGAGAAGTTTCCTTATTTTAGGATTGTGGACAATAAATGGATTGAGTAAAGGCCTCAGACTTCAATGGAATAGGGTTTAGATCTTATTGGATGTTGATAATATTGGCTATGTGATCTAAGCCCTTGGTTTGTGTTTGAGAGCCAAAGGGTAAAATGGGAAAAGTGATGTTTCAGACTTCTTGCATGAATTAATGAGTTTAGTTCGGTATGTTTTAAGTCAAAAGTAACTAGATAGGGTGTCTCTTCAATACCTTTATGTGGATATAAAGATCGCCAAAAACGGAGCTGAAATAACGAAGTTATGGTTATTTGAAGTTGAGATGGATTTGGGTGAAAACCCGTCACCACAGTGTGGTGAAAGTGTTGCCACGGCACAACAGTTGCCACGGCGTGGCGAAAGTGCTGCCATGGCACAACAAGCTGTTAGACCCAAGCCCATGATTTTTAGGGTTTTCAACGTATTTACCATAAGATTCAGACTTTTTGGCCATTTTGTGAGCCTCCATCACCTATAGAACCCCTTGGGAGAAACCCTAGCCTCCGCCTTCAAGATTTGAGCTCCTCTCTCTCTCTCTCTCTCTCTCTCTCTCTCTCTTCTTTCTTCTTTTGGATGCTTTTGGTGGTGTTTTGATGAAGCATGAAGATCAAGAAGGTTCTTTTGGTTGCAAGGAATGATGTTTTAAGTTTAGATCCATCAATGACACTAGATTTATGGACTATTATGAGTATAAAGTAATATCTTGCTCTTTAGTTCTTTAGATCTCTTCATTTGGGGTTTTGGCACTTTTTGTCCATTTTATGGGTGATCTTGGAATTGAGTGGACCCTAACATCTTTTGATCAATTTAGAATGCTTCTTGGACCTCGTGGACTAGGAAAGTTATGATCTTTTTCATTCCTTTTTAGCCATGCAAGTTATCTTGGTCCTTTAGGTCATTTTGGTGTATTAAAGTTTAGATCTTGAAATTTTAAGACATTATTATTGATAAAGTTGCAAAGTTTATCCATATAAACATCATATTGAATTAGATCTGGAGGTTGAGGACTTGGACTAAATGGGTTAAGTTGAGAAAGATGCATTCTTGATCCCTTTGAGAATTAGAGACTAAATTTTGGTTGTTTGGACCATCCTAATGGATAAAGTTGGAAATTTTATCCATTATAAAGCTATTAGGAACTAGAGCTGATGATATGAGTTTTGGTATTTAAGAGATAAGGTCTTAATGAAGAAAAATCCTTCTGACCGAAAGCACGAAGTGTCCAAGGCCTACGACGTGGTTGCGCGCTGCAACACATCTATTTTTCTGATGTGACAACGATGTGGAAAAGGAATTGCTACTACGTGGGGGTCATCTGAATTGACATTGCCCGTTAACTTTTTGACAAGTTTGACTTTTGGTTCAACTTGGGTAGAATTGAGTATATGACAAAGGTCTGTTTTCGGTTTTGTAAAGCCCCAAAATCATGGATAAAATTTTCAGTTTTAATTTAATCGAAAACCGTCAAGTATTCATAACAACCCCAAACAAAGTATGACAATATGAGAAAAATCATCAGAGTACAAATCCAAATCATAAAAAGAAAGTTGTACATGGGTGGATGTGTTGTGATCATGACGGGCGCTTCCCTCTCAAACCGAAAATACTTGAAACCATAAACATAACTGTAAGCACAATGCTTAGTGAGCTTGCCCAAAATCTATGTACAATACACACATACATATAACAACATGTAACGACCGTCACTTGAGGTAATAATTATTAAATATTTCTTAATTAATTGTTGGGCTAAGTGTTAATAGAAGGACTAATTGAGTGGACTTGAGTGAGTGGGCCGAGGACTTGGGCGCCCATAAGACGTACATTGGGCATACCCTTGGTGTACACGAGGCGTAGAGAATCATTGGATGCGGGGGACGCATGCACGTACGCAC